AATTAATGGCTCTGACTTCGTATCACCCAGCACTTAGATTCTTAACATTTAATTCTAAAGCAACTTTCTGTACAATGCTTTCAGGTAATAGGTGAACTCTAAAAGAACATTAAATAGGTACTTAATTCAAGTAAAATGAATAGAAAATATAAGTAAATCAAGTTTAATATTAGTATTAGAAATATCTTTAAAGAAATGGTTACTTACCATCCAGATTTAATTAAAACTATAGTTTTAATGAAGATTTAAATGATATTACAATATCCCTTAAAGATATGCTGTTATTTGAGTAAAGGGAAACAACTGCTATACACCCAGAAAACCTAATCTGCTTAGCCCAGCAAGCCCTCCATTAGCAATGGTGAGGAAATATTTCAGATGTCAGTGGTACAGGTTTTTTGCCCCTTCATTAGTATTTGGCATACACAAATTTACACATATACATGAGCATTACTGTCACTAATTATTTCTTAAGTGTCAATTGATCTTTTATAGAATTATTTCTTAAATGTAAGGTCAGATTATGTTTTGCAGTTTAACTCTGCTATCCTTGAGAAAATTAATATACTTTGCTGTCTTTGTTTAATAAAACTGAGAAAATTAGTGTTTTCTTTCTACTATAACAAACATGATTATTAGTACCTCTTATCACTATTTAAACTAATCTCTTAGTCTTAGCAAACTCAGTTTTATTTGTTAAAAGTAAAATAGTCTGGAGGAGGGAAATATGAAGAAAATATGGAAAAATATTCCCTTGGTCAAATCTGAGAGATGAATACATGAGTACTGGTTATTACTACTATCTTATGTTAGAACTGTATTATAATTTAAAAGATGAGTCCTAAAAAGAATGCAAATTTAGTTTCCATCTGAATTTAGGATTCAGAATCATGTTGCTTTGTTTCCCAGAACTAAACTAACACATCTACATATGCAATCTTCTGCTGGTCATCTCAGACAAATCCCAACTTGTGATCTCAGCATCCTCTATTTTTCATGCTTTTGCACAAGGTTCCAATCTCATGAGAACCTTCCTTTGATTATGTATTTGCCTTAAACTGTACAATCACTTCTGATTAGGTAAGAGTGGAAAAAACCGTTAATGAGGAGCTAGAAGTTCTGATTCTGGCCAGTTCTGCCACTTACTGCTCTGTCTTGACTTTAATGTACCACTTTGGACATAATAGTATCCATCCAGTCTACCTCACAGATTTACTATATAGTAATAAATAGAGACCTAACATGCAACATAAATGAAGTTATAGGTCCTCTGACTATTGTCATACCTGAATCTCTAGAAAGCCCATGATCTTTGACCAGATCCTCAGACATCAGAAGTATGCAAGAAGTATGTAAGAAAATAGAGTCAGAGCAAAGAGGACAGAGAAGGGAAGGACCCAAACAGCAGGCCCACCTGTGATACTGGACAAGATGACACTTCCAACTTGAGATGCAGTGATTTTGTTAATCTACTAGCCACAGAGTAAAAGGTGACCTTGAGCATATTCTTTAAAATATGTTAAATCACACTAAGGATATAGAACAAAATCTCTTGTAATTTATTTCAGCAAATTGGAAATTTTCATGTAGACAATTAATGATTCCACAGTTTTACAAAATGGGAAAAAATACCTAGATAATATGAAAACAACGAATAAGAAAAAAAAATCACTGAAAAGTATGTTTATTTGCTGTCATCAGCTGGTCAAGATTTTAACCACCTACAAAGATAATTAGTTCCATAGTGATGTGAAAGTCACTGATGGTTTGTTTCTCATGGTCCTGTGATAATCTGTAGAGTTGACAAATGTTATGTTAGATTAGCGAAATAGCAAAATTGTATTTGCTAATAATATTCATCATCCATTCACCTGAACCATGTTTTACATGGTGCTGTTTGATGCTTTCCCCATTTACTCCATAGGTCAGCCATTTGGCTCAACCTAATGAAAATATGATCCAGCAAGGCAAGGATCCCAGAACTCTGGGCATTGGGAACCAACAACATACATATTATATAGTATTTCCACACCACAATAATTTTCTGTCTTCTTCCCTGAAGCAAAATGAAAGGACTGATGAGAAATCTATTCAAAATACTTAGTTCAATACTTATTCAATATAATCAAATCCTCTTAGATGTTTGCACAACCAGTTTAGCTTTGTAATCTGTTTCAGAGATTTTGTTAATTTTTTTTTACAAGTAGATTCTACTTTCAATAAATACCTGGGTATTTTTCTTTCTGCACAAGTGATACAAACCACATAACTGAATAACTCCAAAGGGTCTCTGTGTTGATAGGCTGAACCTCCTTGTGAACCATTTTCAAACTTTTACTTTAATCCCTTCTCCTTGGGAGGTTGCTTCCCAGAGCTAGAACAATCCCAGTGCACTCATGGACAGGTCAGTGCTAAAGAAAAAAGAAATTTTAACCAGATCCTATAGTAGAACCTAATAGTAAATGAAACGTTTGATGCTGGAAATGGCTTGTCTTACCATTTGGATCTTTCACATGTTCCCCTTTATTGTTTTTAAGTCCCAATCTATGATTTCTTTCTAGTCATAGATGTTTTTCCAAAATAAAAACTGCTCAGCATACTAAAGTTGTACTTTTCCAGGTTGTTGGTTATGTTTGAGTGATTAACTTCTATCAGTACTACAGCAATACTACTCAACGACAACTAACCTTTTATTAAAAAAAAAAAACTTAGCTTGTTTTGGGTGTTATCCCAAGTGTTTTATATGCACTGTGGCATTTAATCCTCATAACAATTCTGTCATCTCTACTTTATAGATAGAAAACTGAGGCAAGGGGTAGTTAAGCAACTTGTCAGTAGTTCACATCTAACAAATAGTAGTGTCGGGATTTAAGCTCAGGTGGTCAGAACTTTTTGTTTGTTTTTGTTTTTTTGGTTAATGGGGTTTGAACTCAGGACATTGCCTTCCTAGCCAAGCACTCTAACACTTGAGCCATGCCCAGCCCTTAGAGTTCATACTCTGTGCTATACCACCTCCCAACTAGCTTGTCTTATCAAGCCTGGTAGATATTAGGCTCCTCTCCTCACTTCTCTTATGCCTAGATAAAAAAGTGAAAAGTTATATGCTAGCTATAATTCTTGCCATGTGAAGTCTCTAACTTTCCTTCCTCTCTTGTCAAGTAGTACATTAAGGTGAAGGGCATTCAGCTTCATAATCATGAGTGAGTTGAGAAACACATGCTGTCTTACTGAGATAGCATGTGATTTCAACTTAACAAACACCTGCTGAAGCAAAAGAGGGATTTGTGGGAGGATATAAGGTTATCTCACAAAACCAAGAGCAAGAATCCAGCCGAGCCTCCAGAGGCACTAAAAGCAGGACCTAGAAAATCAGAAGCCAGTATTACTCCCTTTTAAGATATCCCTGTTAATATCCATGAGGGAAAAGGGCAAAAGAAGAATCAGGCAATATAAAAGCAAAGAAGCACCCTTCTCCTCCATTGGTAATAAGTTCTCAGAAAACATGAAAGTGGGCTGACATAAACTCCTCAAAAGCACGTTTCTGTACTCCATCAATTGATGGGAAATGCCAAGTGCAGATCATTAACTTTATGTGGATTTTAAAGTTAACTCTATATGGATTTAAAGTAGTGACTAAATAGTCCCTTTTGGCTACTCCCTGACATCCTGTCCCTACTCAAGTTCTTCTTTTTTCTTTTGGGAGCACTGAGGCTTCAACTCAGGGTCCCACATTTGCTAGGCAGGGGCTCTACTACTTGAGTCAGCCCTTTTTTTGTTAGGTATTTTTGAGATAGGGTCTCACAACCTATTTACCCAGGCTATCCTCGAACTCCAGTTCTCCTGATCTGTGCCTCCTGAGTAGCTGAGAGATTACAGGCATGAGATACCAGCACCTTCTCAAGCTCTGATGATTGGCCTTTTGTTTAATTCTCATTCAGTCTATACAAAGATAGGCCTTTGCAACCTTTCTAACCTCCAGAGGATGAGGCCCTTGATTTCTTTCTTTCCATCACTTCTCCCAAGGCCTTTTATATGTACCATCAAAGGGCCTGATGACAGTCAGGAATATGCCTAGTTTCAGTCCCTAGTATTGATTCTGTCCTGTTCTGGTTGTTTTTGTTTGTTTGTTTGGGGTTCTTGTTTTTGTTGTTTTCTTTTGTGTTACTGGGGATTGAACCCAGAGCCTCACACATGCTTGCAAGCACTCTACAACTTGAGTCACACGCCCCGCCCTAATCCTGTCCTTTTACCTTCTCAGAATAATTCATATTCTCTTCCTTTCTTCTGCTTTTTTCTCTACCCTCTCTTTTCCCAATAAATATCTACTGGCTCTTCATCTTTTTAGGGCTCCCATCCATTTCCTATTAGATGAATTCCATGTTCTTAAACTTGAGAGCCCTCCAAAATCATGTCTTGTCCTACCTATTCCAGTCATTTCTAGGCAAGTCCTTCAGTCTAGGTAGGCCAGGCCACACTGATTCAAAAACACCACAGGCTTAACCACTGATCAAACTTTTCCTAGTGCAGATCCTCTTGCCTTTCCCACTCCTTTCCACCTATCAAAATCCAGCCTATTTCTCACTTAAGTCATAAGCTCTACAGAGTCTTATATGACCTTCCCAACACCTAGGGTGACCAACTGTCCTGGTGTGTCTAGGATTTCTGAAGCCATGAGACTTTCAGTACTAAAACTAGGATATTCCTAGGCAAACCAAGACAGGTAAAATATCCTTCAACACCTCCCCTCATTATACTGTGTTGTTAGCCCAAATGAGCCCTATGAAAGCATCAGTTGTCACTATAGCACTGACAAGGTTCTTTTTCAACATTAAGGCCTATTCTGTTGGGCAGAGACCCCCACTAATTCCCACTTCACACAGAATATATTGCTGTACTCGTGTTAATGTCTACTCAGAGGAATAGGTGGTTTAGATTTAAGTTAGTACTATATCTAAAATATTTCCCTTGTGTGTTAATTTATTTGTCTTTATTTTTTCCAGCCCAGATGACTTACTCAATGCCTTGAATGAGGGTATCAGTCGTGCTGATGTCATCATCACATCAGGGGGTGTATCCATGGGGGAGAAGGTATGACAACTTGGGGCGCATGAAGATTTATCTATTCTCATGTCCTTGTGTGTGGTCAGTTGACTGTGTCTATAGGGATCTTATATTCATAACTAGGCCTCCACAAAGCTGAGAACCCTGGGGCTTCAGAAGCTATTGGTCTCTAAAAAGGATGCGGTGTGGGCAGCTTGGGGAACTGAGTTAAAGAATCCCACAATTTGCAGAATGTTCTTTGCTGTGTTCCTGGAGACTTCTGTTTTGTCTTTCACTCAATTTTACTACACTGGGACTTCCTTTTTATATATTTGTGCACAAGGTAAAGCACCAAGAGCCTTCCTTCTTAAACAGTGACCTCCCGTAGCCAACCATATACTCCAAAGCTTACCAAGATCTTTCAACTACCCTTCCCTCAGGGAAGAAAGAGAGGATCAGGCATTCCTTTTGCCCTTCTTTATAAAAGTAAATAATAAAATAATAATAACAATGAAAATATCCACACAGATGCATGATTTTACAGAACAAAGTCTATTTGAGCATGGTGTGTGCTTACTCCTATAAAAACTTCAATTTGAATACTGTAGTATCATTAAGCTTATACATCTTAATGAAATGTGTTTATGATTATTGGGTCTATCAGACAATGTTATTAAGGTAAAATATCCCTTGCTACAATAATCAACCCTATGTTTTTGCTCAAAAATATTTTAAAGTATAAAATGTTATGCCAGCCTATAATCCATTTCCATGTTTTATTTTATCTCATATTAATGAGAATATTAAAACAATATTATTCATGATATCAGTTTTACTAAGATTTCATATTTTCCAAGAAGTTTATTTAAGCTAAATCATTTACCTATATATGATTGTTCTTGGTACCTGCCCTTTCTAGATATAAAATTGCCTAAATTTGTAATCTGATTTTTTGGTCAGTAAACTTTATTGGCTCCAAGAACAAATGTTAGAATTCAGAACCCTGAACAGAGAATTCCTGCCTTCCATTCAGACTTCAGTTTTACAGTGTCTGAGAATAGCACTTAAACTAACAAAAAACATAGAAGGAAAAGAATCTCAAATTACCTCCAGGAGTGATAATGTTGAAATGTGGATAGATATTCTTATAACAGACAGATAGCTAGGTAAGTGCTTTCTGAAAGTCTCCCAGAAGACTTTAGCCCCAGGTAGAGCAAATTGCTACAGACCTCTTGAGATCCAAAGGCTAGGCTGAGATCTGCACTGTGGTAGAACTATACGAAATAGTTTGCAACAAATCTCTTTTCATTGCCATGAAATTGCTCCCAGAATCACAAGAGCACATCCTGAAATCAAGACTATTCAAATTTAACATTTATTCTTTCTAGGGATTGCTTCATGTAAAACTTAACCTTAGTTCCTAATGAAGTTAATTATGGAATAATATCTACTTGGTAGACTTCTAGAGAGGCAACAAGCTTACAGTACTCAAGGTTGGCAGTTGTGGCTCAGTTGTGGTAAGGAAAGTACATTTCCGAAACTTCTTTATTAGTGCTAACAAAGATGTCAGTTACCTTAGGGGTTTGCTTACAAGTAAACAAGGCCAATATCCTTCAGTATACTGATTTTATTTATCTTACTCTCTGGGTAGAGAGATACTTACACTCTACCTTTAATTTACTAATAAAGAGATTTTAGGATGTGGAGCATCCAAAGCATTCCCTGGGAACCAGTAATTGTCCTTCTTACCTCTGCAGTGGAATGAGATGATAGAGTAACCAGAAAGAAAGAGGCAGGACTGGGGATATAGCTCAGTGGCAGAGCGTTTGCATGGCATGTGGAAGGCCCAGGATTCAACCCTATCACCATCACCAAAAAAAAAGAGGTAAAACATACAGTAAATTCCTGCCAGCCAGCCAGCCAGTTATAGTCCCCAAAAGAATTTCATATACTTTACAAGCAGAAGGAAGGAAAAGCATGAAAGATAAAATATCTGCTTAAGCCCAGGAGCTAAACCTGAAAAATAGTTATTGAAAAGACAGGAAGATCAAGGAAAGATCCAGAGGCGTTATGCAGCAGACATGAATTTTAAGTGAAAAAACTCAGATATGCCAGAAATTTATCTGACTCAATGTAAGTCATAATCTGAGCACCTGTGCTACAAAACAGTCAGGAAATTTTATTTAAGCCACAGCTGAGGCCTATTCCCTCCAAGTAGTATGCCAAGGAACCTGGAGGGGCTTAAGCAGCACAAAAGCAGCAAGGAGCCACATGTGGTCGCTAGTTTGCACTGGTTATACCCGGAGAATTCTAGTTGCACCATTAGATTTCAGGTCTTTGCTCCTTTGGACCATACGAGCTGCTGGGACTTATGGGGAGGCTGGGAGTGTCTGGGCAGCCAGCTTGCTTCTTTGTATCTCCTGGGAAGTCTGGCCATCTCCACAGTGTATTGCCTGCTAAGCAGAGTGGAAGGAGGGACCCCTGCCACTTGTAGGACCCACAGACCTCTCTCCTCTGCCAAGGATAAATAACTCTTCCACAGTTGCTTATCTAAAGATCTCTCCACACCTCCACTTCTTCCTATCTTTTTCAAAGAATTTTCATCTTAAAAACACTAAAAGTTGTAGTTAAACACTGCATTTTGTCCTGAAAACCAAAGAATCATATGCATTTCTATTAAGTTTTTCACAACCTACAAAATTATAAAATAGTTCAAAGACAATGAAAAGTGCCAATAACATAGAAGGATACACAAAATGGCATAGTAATAGTAGCAATCTTTGCCTATTTCAAAATCTCTTTCATTTTTCATTTTTCCTTTTGCTCATTTTCATATGATGTTTTCTCTACCACTCATATGACCAAAGTTATTGCAGATAGGTTTGTCCTAATCTGAACACAAGAATGTTAATCATGAGCCCTCTTAAATTTGTTTTGCAAATCCAGAGCCATGCAGCCACATGCATATTTACAATAAATTAACAATATCCCAAATAAATAGACACAAAGAAGTTTTCCTTATCATTTCATTCAATCCTATGATATTTTTGTTCTGCTAAATCTTGGGTTAGCACTCTGCTTTCCCCAAACTACCTGCTTCCAAACTAAAGAGTTCTGGAATCCCTGACTCAGTGCACTGGGACAGGATGAAAGTTATCCAAGCTATATCACTGCTGAAGCCATAGGTTACAGTCCTTTTCCCTAGTGCTCTGAACCTGCCTAGTTATTGTTTGTGTTTATACAGAGCCTCAGACAAGCATCAGAGTAGAACATAAACTTTCTATAGATCACAGATTCTTAATGACTGTGTTTAACTTACTACTGTAATATATAATATTATAAGGCAGTAAAATTAACAATTGGGATACAGTATGTAACTATTCATAAAAGTTGTGAGGGTTTTATGGGTTTGTTTGTTTTTGCAGTGCTGAGGCTCAAACCCAGAACCTCAGGCAAGCTAAGCAAGCCAAACTTCATAAAAATTTTACTAACCCAGGCAAGGTGGCACATGCTTGTCATCCCAACACTCAGGAGGCTGAGGCAGAAGGATCAGAAGATCAAGGCCTGGTCTATAAAGCAAGACCCTATCTCAAAACAACAGCAAAAGCTAATATCTACTTTATGGAGAAAATTAAGGAGCATAGGTAATTAATAAATCATATGTAATTCTTTTAGCAGACTGGCAAAACTCAAACACAAAATAGGGTTTTGTGCTTGCTAGGCCAGTGTTCTATCACTTGAGCCATGCCCCCAACTCTTTTTGCTTTAATTATTTCCAGATAGGGTCTCACATTTTTTTCCCCACTGGGGTTGAGGTGGTGGTTTCGGACAGAGATCCTCCTATTGATGCATCCTATCTAGCTGGGATTATAGGCATGCATCACCACACCCAGCTTATTTGTTGAGATAGGGGGTCTCCAGCTTTTTGCCCAGGCTAGCCCTGAACCATGATCCTCCTGACCATCATCTCCTGAGTAGCTTGGATTATAAGTGTGTACCACCACTCCCAGCCCTGTTTTTTGTTTTTGTGTAGCCCAAGCTGGCCTCAAATTCACACTCCTCCTGCCCCTGCCTCCCAAGTGCTGGGATTACATGTATGCTTCACCACACCTGGCCATAATACAGCTTTCTATAAACACACACATCCCTTTTACACCATCTTAATATAGCAAAAATAAATAAATACAACCATTAACATAACCCAAAGATAAATCCTCTCTGTAGCATATAAAAATTAGAAGCAAAGCATAATTTTTAAGTTAATATACTTTAGTATATTATTATACTAAAAATTATACTTAGTAATCAATGACCTAATCTATTTTACTTAGAAATTATCTAGGTATCTGATGGTTTCTGATAGTTATTCACTAATTAACTTAAAATCAGTTCAAGATTTTAGCTTACTTCAAGATTTTAGCTTAATAATCTTGAAAATTATTTTCAATGTGGCATACTATAAAATATAATTACTGCTATAGTTAAAAATTCCTCAGAATAATTATTTGATTATATATCTCAGTTTTATATTTTATAATCTTAAATACTATGTAGGAACAGTGTTAGCTTATTTGATAAGTTAACCTTTGTAAGTTTGGAGAGGTAAAGCCCACATGAAATAAAATGTATACTTTTATTATACTTAACACTGAAAAATAAGAGGAAAAAACATGGCTGGTTTCCTTAATAAATAAAATTATTATGCTAGTCTCACTGGCCAAAAATTTACCTTAACTATATGAACATAGATTCTTAAAATTACAAGAAGAAGGTTTTTCTAATGCTGCTCATTATAATACTGTGAGTGCCAGGCGTGGTGGTGCGTCTGAAGTCTCACATACCCAGGAGGCTGGGGTGGGGTCTGAGACCATAGCAAGGCAGCATAGTGAGACCTCAGCTCTTAAAAATAAATAAATATTATAAGATAAATTTCCTTATTATCTGGGAAATTTAGAAATATTCTGTTTATATAAGCCTTTTTTTTTAATCTCTCTAAGCCAATCAGAATAGAGCACCTTTAAGACACAAAAAAATTCAGCTCATGAATA